GATATGGAGGATCGACCTAGGGGAGTTGGAAAACGCCGTTTCCGAACCAATAGTGCACATGGGCTCCAGGATCCTAAGGGAACAAATGGCATATGAACCATTTATTGGTCACTGGCTACCGTGGGATTGCGTGTCCTTACGTTGCTCCACTGCTTTGTGAATCAGACCTTTAGGTCGAAGGCTCCGGGTGTGGCTCACTAAGAAAACCATCTTCTTTGGTCCGGGCACCCAGACAGTTTCACAGCCTTCACACAAATGGAATGTACTCGGTACCTCTTTGTACTAATATTTATGTTCCAAAAAATAAAAACTAATATGTCTGAAATATTAGCCTCAATAATACTTCGACGTCTAACTAGCACTCGTGAAGAGCATACTAGAGAAACCCAGGCTGGGTTCAGACCTGGACGTGGATGCATAGACCAAATATTCATCCTTCGACAGGTCCTGAAGCATAAACATATTTTTCGATGACCGGTTATAGTTGTATTTTTTATCTTAAGGCGGCGTTCGACTCCGTTGATTGTGATGTACTGTGGCAATGTCTGTCATTGAAAAGCGTACCAAAGAAGTACATTAACATTTTCCAGGCTCTCTACTCGAACACCACTAGTCAAGTCAGAGCTTATAGTGAACTCTCATGAGAATTAGTTACTTTTCGTAATGTTCGTCAGGGTTTCCCACTTTCCTCATTTTTATTCAAATTTGTCATAAACACGCTTTTGGAGATAATACTTTCATCGTCAGACTTTTCAGGGGTCGGCCTTCCAGGAGATTCGCTTGTTGACTTAGAATACACGAATATTCTGACAAAATACAGTCTTTCCACCGCCTTAAGCAACAATGCAAGCATGTTTGGGACGCTGTTTTCTCCCTCCAAGTGTAAAATTTTACCTAAAGACTGACTTGAGTCATCGTCTGGAATCAATGATAGGTAGTGAAATATTTGAACACATCGATCGTCTTGCTTATCTCAGGAGTCTTATCAAGCCTGACGGTCTGTTGTGTGTCGAAATCTCGACACAAATCCAGAAAGCCCGACCAACCTTTATCAATCTGCGTCACATTTGGCGGGGGCAAGTTATCCTTTTTTCAACTAAAGGACGAGTTCACTGTTGAACAGTTCGCCTCGCCCTGCTTTATGGATGTGAAACATGGGCATTTCCAGGTTAGTTGTATTCGATTATATCTCACTTCTAGGTACCACTTGTGTATTTTGCGACCATCGAGTAATCAATGGCAATTTGTCCTTTGTCTTTCCCCAAATTCCGAGGTTCTAAAATCTCCATCACTTTTTTATTTCGCTAATATATATTTTCTTGAATCGTATTTTCGATGCCCAATCCTTCCACTTACCACTCGTCCCCCCTTCGAAGCATTCGTTCTTGCGGTGGTTCATGCCCGCCGTGCCACATTCTTCTTTTCTACAGTCCGTGCTACACCCTCCGTCAAAATGTCGAGTCTGCGGCGTGCTGGCCTCCATAGCTCCGTCGATCTGCCGGGGCACCAACATCCGACATCCATCCGGCACCTGGGACGTTTGACACCCGTGCTCCACCAGCCTGCTGAACCATCTAAATCCGATGTCCGCCCAGCAGCCGCACGTCCCACCGCTCCTCTTCGTCGACAGCACCTGCTACAGCCAACGCCGCCCAGTCAGAACACTCCACTCGACGCCACCTCTCCGCACCAGACTACTCCAATTAGCACCTCAGCTCCAGGCCCGCGACGGCGTCCGCAGAACAGCACCCTTTCCCTCTCTTGGTTGGCAGCGACACCAAATGTAGTGAACGAAAACACCGATGGGGACAATCGAATGTATTTGAGCACATAATTACAGAGCATCTCAATAAAAACTGAGAACCATATAATAAATCGTTAATTTGCAAAATATCAATCCATCATATCAAACTTGACTGTTCCTGTTGCAAACATCAATCCATTGTCTCAAATTTCATTGTTCATGCGTTTTCATACCAATTGAGTTTCGTTCCCGTTCTTTCCTCATCGACTTTCTACTGAAATACATTCTATGCCTGACCACCGTCATATACTACTTGCGTGGATATAATTAACACACACTACAAGACTACCATTCAGTCTCTATATAAATTATACCTATGGGCAAAACATTTTTAAACAACATTTCAACTGACATCCAGATTTCCTTCAGTCACCCACCATCTTCAAACAACCTGAATGGCAAATTGACTAAGTTCTTCAATTTAGTAAGATTGAAAAGGTTATATTTAAGAAAAGATAAGCAGGTCAAAACGGGTTAGTCCCGGAGATCTTTAGTAATGGTAGTCCAGTTTTATCAGTTAAATTGACTGAGACACTAGAAATAATTTGGAAAACGAACGTAATCCTACTTGACTGATCTAGATTGCTTGTTGAGTCAGTTGGTGGCGAACTGTCATTGGAACTGTTAACTTCAAATTTTGTTCACCAAGGTTGTCTGCTTTCACAATTTTTATTTAACTAATTCACGGACATTCCCTTAAAAATAACGGTCTTGTCATCTGACTTTAGGAATTGATCTACCAGCAGATTCACTTGCTGTGGAGTATGCATATAACGTAGTCCCGTTTGATGAATACACTGCAAAAATACTGTCTCCTGTCGACCTTAAACAACATGATAAGCGTACCGAGCCTGTATTTATCTTTTTCAATCCAAACAGTTGCTTCAGGACTGGTCTGCATTAACTCCTGAATGAATGGTAGGGAGTAAAGTAGTCGAGGGTATCTGCCACTTCACTCCTGCAAGTTGGTATCTGACGAAATCATGGCACGGATTCAGAAAGTTCAGTCGGCTTTCCTCAGCTTGCGTGCCGTGTATGAGATGTTCATCTGCCTAACGAAGGACCAGTGTACCGCTGTCTTTTTATGGGTATGAAGCATGGTTATTATGAATAGAGGACATTCGTAAATCACTAGTATTTGATCACAAATACATGCAAAGTATTGATCGTGTATTTTCGGGTCGTGGAGTTAGCGATGCGGAGGTCTGTGATACATATACGGACAGTTGTAAGTATTATGTATAAAGATTTTGAAGTAGGATTCTTGCTATTAGAAGAGGAACATGGGAAGAGAATGAAAAGTAAAAACAGTCCGAGTAGCAACAGGAATGAAAGAACGACAGAGCTTTCAAGAGACAATTTAAAGAAATTGTGTAAATGATGTATTCAATGTGTTGTTTTCATATTTTACATAGCAATGTGTGATTTCGCTTCGTATGAAAAGTTGGTCTACCCTATCCACGTCTTCGTTCAATATAGTACTAGGTAAGGATGCCAAATCGATTGATAAGGTGGTGAATCTTTATTGGCTGAGATGGTTGTGTTACGTATGTTCAACTACCGCCTACTTTGACACGTGATGCTAGTTAATGTAGGAGTGAGCTGGAAGTTAGAAGCGGCCAAACCAAGATATAGCATCAGTTCATGAGGTTACTAACTGTTGGATTGAGGCGTTTAGGCAGGTGCACGATATCTGGTTGGGTTTTGCATGATTATCGTAACTAATAATTAGAGACTGGGTGATATGGCTTGGGACTGTCCACCATAGAACAGGTAGACTTTTTCTCTTTTCTTCGAAATTTAGTCCGGAAATTGTTTTACTCGTAATCTCTTCTACTACCACTGATACTGTTACCACTTTTAATACTCTGATATTCACTTTGATTATCTTATCTTGTTATGTTCACTTGGTATGAGAACTTGAACCGATGCATATATGTGCCAGGATCTTTTTTGCAGGTGGGTGGCCGTAAATGGATGCTTACATTGACGAGGTTATTTTGGGTTTAAGTTGATGATAGATTTCACTGATTTGCAATTGTTTGAGTATCGTATTATGCTCTTTCAAGATGGAATTCGTTATCAACTTAGTGCTCTACTAATTTTATCTAAAACACGTTCTTGGTCTTCACATATCCCAGGTAGTCTTCAAGTGGTCTTTGTATCGTGACAGTTTTCTGTCCCTTGATTCCTCTATTGATTCATTTTACGTAACGAATTTGAATAACATTTATAAGCAAAGAATATTGTTTCTAATTAGATCCTCATCAGGCTTTACTCTTATATATATATATATATATATATATATATATATATATATATATATATATATATATGTATAGATACACAAAATTATTAAACTAATCAAGGCAGCTTATGAGTCAGTGGTAACAGTGGAATAGGTTACACAACCAAACATAATAAGCAAAAGAGTACAAATTGATATTGTGATGACAGGTATACCAGTTGTGATTAGAAAAACAAAGGCTTGGATCGATGTTTCATAATGTGAAATCGGTTAATGACTTGAAAAATATAGATGCTGAAATAACATTTATATAAATTATAAGACTGCTTAATAAGAAGTGTTCAGATAATTGGTTAATCTGGCGTATATTTCAAAAAAGGGGAAGGATCGGAGAAAAATAAACAAACAAACAGTGTGAAAAATAATAAATAATTTTTTCTGTTCAGGCTAATTCGTCCAAGGAAAAGACAAAGGTGTTACGAATTTCGTGTGAATACAAAGACTTGGATCGTTGGCTCGTATTCCTGTAACGTTTGCCGTGTATAAGCGAGATCGAACCCCATAAGGAAAACTAGCAGGTATACAATGTCACTGCAAATGACCTATTTCTATCTACTACATAACCGCTATCGGTCAAGTGTGATGGGACAGACCTGCGTATTGTTTTGACGGTACCCTTTCCTAACCTCTTAGGGAGGTGTCCACTGTAGGATTTAATTTGTACTACAGATATACTACTAGACTGTACACGCGATACCGGCGACCACAGAGTACATGTGAAAGCCATAGTCAAAGCAAGAACAAATCGGTTTTAAACTCTGTTTCTAAACGTAAAAATAACAATTTGATTAGTACAATAATTAAAGGAATTATAGTCATTAAGTGGAACTCACGAACATTGCATGTTTTGTCGTAATAAATAAAAATTATGTCACATTCATTTCACAGGATAATATTGTCCTTCAACTAGCAGGTTACATGCAACAGTGATAGTCTACAGACACTTCAGACCAGATTAACATGATGGGCGCTTAAGCAACGATTTGATTGGTTAATTATGGATATAACTAACATTCCCCCCAATCGGACACCGTGTCCAGCTCCACTACTGTCGCGTTCATATAATCGGCTTCTTCAAATAGTTATATAAGTCGTACATTCCGGCTGATCTCTTCGGTTGCTATCCTCAGCAGAACTGTTATGGCTCGTTCATCCGGACCACAATTGAACTGTCTTCGAAATTTTTATGAAACTCCAATAGTTCATGGGATAGCCATCAAAACTTATTATCTCTCTTTTTGGTAGGTTTAAAGCTTTAGATGTCATTGTTATCCAGTCCATTCCAGGAGGAACATCGATTGCACGTGTGAGGCAGATGTAGACTCGTATGACATCACCTTATCAACCACAGCATGAATATAATGTTCTCTTCCCTTTTGACGTAACCACTTTAGCTTAATTTCTCTTTCTCTCTGAGCCAATCGTAGTGTCGCTAATTCCAACTATATCAAGGGATCTGTTCGGTAGCCGTTTCCTTCGAAATGGCCATCACTATGAGATTCTGCATAGTGGAGAGGCAAATCATAAATCTAATCAGTCTTATGATTTTTTTTTCGTAGACATTCATTAATTCGTTTGCTCAATTATCTGGTTGTGTGCCCAATATAACTTTCTCCACAGGAGCAGCTGGATTTGCAGATACACATATATGTAGCAGAACCAGGTAGATTACCCCCTAGTTGAGGAGTCACCTTAGATTGGGTCGAGAACGAATTTGTTAGCGGATATTTAAAAGCTGTGTTGTAGAGTTTTATTTATTGTTGTAAGATTACCTGAATTTGACGACTTTAGTTATAGATAACCTTTTAATGTCTCAGTAGCTGACTGGCTTCTAGTAAATAAATTTGGTCGTATGTGACGATTTTGGTTGATTTGTTGATCTAAAATTCTTACATTTTGTGAGGAATGTCGAATGTAATGTTCTATGTATCTATATCTGTCCATCATAATTTACATCGAACTTAAAACAAATGTGCGGCAAATTTTTTTCGTTTTCTGAAAGTTTTTTTCTTTTAAAGTTAAAGCTTATGTAACAGTTCATTTCTTGGCACAATATTGTCTTTTAGAATCCCTCATGTATTGACGTCTTTAGTTCTCACTTTCGTTTGTTGAAATAATGTCAAAATGAATGTGATTTCAATGCACTTTCTTCCTGGGGAGGAACCCATAAACACTAAGTCGATAGCTGACGGAATCTTGACTCTTACAAACTATCGACTTATATTTTCAACGAAAAGACCACAAAGCTCATGGAGTATACCCACTACTTTAGTATGGAAAGCTGAAGCATTTGAAATGATTCACATCAAAATCATAACCAAAATTGGTATATCTGTTACGTAAGTATTTGTTTTTTCTTGATAATTCTCATACATCTAGCTGGTCGTTTGTCGATGAAATTGCTTGTGATTCTGGATACGCTTATATTACGTCATTAATAGATACACCAAGAGATATTGACTCTCTGTTTGCTTGTAAATTCCGTTCATCTTTAGAAGCGAACATTCCAAACCATCCATTTCTCTTAAGTAAGTTTTGCAATTTCCTTGTTTGATAGGACTATGTATTACTTTGTTCAACTTTAGGTGCCTGTGAATTGTTACAGATTAATGGTAAGTGTTTTTTTAGAGCTCTGTAACACATAACTTTCGATTTTAAAGATGTGGACAGAACATTGGATACAGCGTTAGTATGTTTTGAATTTCGTCGCATGAACTTTGATAAAACATGGAAGATAACAGATATTAACAACGAATTCAAGTAAAATATAATTCCCATTTTTTAAAAGTCTAATCTTTTAGAATTTGCTCCACGTACCCGAGACATCATATTGTACCTCGATCTATTAGTGATAATGATATAATTAATATGGCTAGTTTCCGAAGTCACAATCGATTTTTAACAGTTGTCTGGCGGTAATTTTCTTAAAGTATTTTAATGCGTTCTTTATAGTTCTCAGGTAACTGGAGCTGTCTTACTTCGTTGCGCTCAACCTTGTGTAGGATTAATGTGTTCCAGAAATGAGTATGACGAGAAATTCCTACGAACTGTTCTTGCTTGTTGTCCAAAGAAACCTGTTTCAGATCCTAACAAAGGTGTGATTGTTGTGTTTGTCTGTATGGTGTAATAATCGTCACATTATTGTTTTAATATCATAGATTTCATTCGTCGGGACCTTTTATTGTGTAAATCTTCAGTCAATAAAAGTCCCTATTTCATAGTTCTTATCCAGGTGTAATAGAAAATGTTTAGTGATATGATATATCTTCAATTAAACCACCGTTACATCTGTTAACGAATTCTTACATAATATAGTCTTTATCTATTTAACTAAATAAAAGACATATTGTACCTTTGTTTTAAACCATATTCCTATAACTTATTAGAGTTTTAGAATTTTTGTGCTTTCGTTTCAAATACCGTATATCTCAGATAAAACATATGTATGTCTAGGGAGTATCCGGCTTGTAGTCAATCATTCAATTTCCAACAGCTTTTTTCTTCGTAATTTGATTTATAGTCTACTGGACTAAATATAAAATACTCGTTTGATTCTCAAATACTCTTTACGGTATTTTATTGTTTAGGGTTCTCTAAATGATCAAAAATGACTTTTCGTTTTAAGTACGTTTCATGTCCACCACTTAAAAGTGTGTATGCATATGATAAGTAGTAGTACTCTATTCTTTCAATTATAGATATAGCTGATGCATATGACTGTTGTCTTAACATGAAATAAAGTATTAATACTATTATTTATTGTTATTAGATACTCATCGTTTGATGATTGTGGATGCTAGAAGTCGTAGCAGTGCACAATTCAATCGAATACGTGGTGGTGGTTTTGAATATCCAGAATATTATGATCAGGCAGAAGTTGTTTTTATGGATTTACCTAATCTACATACTGTCCGTTCAAATTTTGAAGCCCTAACTAATCTGTTCGCTGGCAAATGTCCTAAGTAAGATAGTTTGTTACAATCACTTTTTAAGTTAAGCTTTAATTATTTGCAACTAACTTTTATTCTAGTTGATTGAAAATTACATTATTTTGTCAAAATCTGTTTCATGACCAACTTCTCAGAGTATTTTTATTGGAAAAAGTTCCTTGGAACATTTCTGTTACAAACATTATTCATACTGGTTCAACGGTAGCGTTATTGCCAGACCTAAAATCTGTTTTATTCAATTCTAGAATGGTCAACAAATGTGGATTTTCTAGAACGTTCTAAAGCAGGATTAATGAACCACCCATCCCTTCTTGCATTTCCGTAATAATTCACGTGATATTGTTACACAATGAAAATTGTTTTATATCACTCATATTCGTAAGATCTTGTTTAATTCTATATGTTAATCATTTTTCTATCAGATGTTAAATCATTTATTACCTATTATTCGATCTATCTGTTGACAAAAGATGTATGCCTACAAAGAATTTTCATCAATATATTTTTTTTATTCAAGAATAAATCAGAATATTTTTATCTTATAAACTAAACAATATTCGTAAATTATTTGCCTTGCTTTTATCATGGAAGTTTTTTACACCTCTAGTTCAAAATTATCGTGTAATTTTGAAGATCCAGTACTAGATAAAAGAATGTCTAATATTTTTGGTGGTTTTTCTGTATTTATATAGTTGTGCGAATTCATCATCATTATGTTGTGAAATTTCTGTGATACCATAGATGTTTTGTTTGTTTTACATCATAATTTAGTTGTTCAAGTATTAGAATTTCGTGTTTGAAACACATTAGGACACTTTAATTGTTTTCAATTTATGGACCGAATAATTTTATTGTTTTCAATTGTAGTTGGTTTTCTTCATTAGAAAAATCATCATGGTTAAACAATATTGGTCAGCTTTTAAAAACTGCCACAGAAATTGCTATCGCATTAGAAGAAAATGCTCGTCCGGTTATGGTTCATTGCACAGATGGTTGGGATCGAACACCTCAAATAAGTTCCTTAGCCCAATTGTTAGCAGATCCATTTTATCGAACAATTCAGGTGAGAGTAGCGCTAAACTTTTAAGATCATAACTATGGTATATGTTATCGAAATATTTTAAAATTACTATTTGTGTTTTTTATATATAGGGTTTCAATATTCTTGTTGAACGTGAATGGCTACAATTCGGTCACAAGTTTTCTGATCGAAGTGGACATGCTTCACCCTCATTAAACATAAATGAACAAAGTCCAATATTTTTACAATGGCTTGATTGTGTCCATCAAATTCGCAACCAGTTTCCCCATTGTTTTGAATTTAACGAATCATTTCTGGTAGGTATTCACAAAAATTCTTTCAAGTTAAATAATGTTTATCTACAGTAAATTTTGAAAAGCAGTTTATATCTAATCAGTTTTCGTGAACATTATCTGATGGAAAATTCCGAATTACTTTTTTATCCATTTATCATCATATTAACTGTGGTTTTTACCCAACAGTTATTCGATTTTTCACTTCAGTTTTGTACTACTTTCTGATTATGTTTTGGATTGCGTGAGTAAGTAGATATATTTCTTCGTTTGACCATAGATTCACAGCCTCCAATGAATGTCTTACTACTTATTAAGATCTCAGTACTTACCGGTATATATATAGGCATGCTTATTCGAGGATTATAATCACATTATAGTTGTATTTTTATTTTCCAAAAATCATCTAGTGACTTTTACGTTGTACTCACTTAACTGTTATCCTCCAAGGTTTCTTCAATTTTTGATAGTTTTCGAGTTTCACTATATCAATAGATTAAAGTGTGAGGAACCGTAAAACATATGAATTTGATATTTTAATGAATGACTTCGAATCGTATACTGCATTATGAGAACTTTTGCTAACACATGTTTGTTCCAGGTTCTACATTGAGTATGGCTAACTGATATACGTCGTCAGCCTGTTGGGTTGACAAGACTTCGAGAGCTAAGATAGAATGAAACCTATACATCATTTAGTAAAATTCAAACGAAGGTCTATGAAGGAGCCATATTTCTGGGCTTTTTAGTTTACGTTTTGAAGTAAAGAATTAACACTTTTATTACCTTGTATATCGCTGTAGTGATTAATCAATGTTTTGATAGTCAATACACCTTGTTATTATAGTTAGAGTTTCCCATTTAAGATATGTATATATGTGTTCCTAAGTATGCCAGTCACAAGACTGGATTTTAATTACTATGAATTTGTGGTTTTTTTGTTATATAGCTAAAACTTGGCTTACATATCTGTTCAAACTTATTTGGTACATTTCTTTGTAATTCTGAAAAAGAACGTCAAAATGCTTCAGTCGCCAGTCGAACCTGTTCATTGTGGGGGTTATTATCCTCAAAATATAATTGGACAATCGTAAATTACTTTTATGAGCCAGAAGCGGAGGTAACTGTAGATTTGATTTTGTTCCTTTGAAGTTTGATTAGTATTTTACAGTTATTTTAGGCAATTGGGACCTGTTTGCTGTTATCCGTAACCATGAGCTCTTATTTTGATGTTATAACCGGATTTGTCGATTTCTGTAAACGTATTTGATCTATGATAGCTGTGATTATTGTTCCTTAAGGTCTTTCCACTTCAGGGTGTTTGGGTTTAAAGACGTAAGTCTGAAAATAACTTCCAGAAGAGTGTAGTTATTGTGTACTATTTAAAGGTAAGTTTATACATCTTGTTAGGGGCGGGATAACAATAACGAGAGAGCTTCAACTTCCAGTCATTCTGCCTTTCAGTTTACTATGGTGGTAACAAAGTCAGCCATACAGTTATTCATTTTATCTTGTCATATAACATTTCGTTGCCAATGCAAGATTATTTTGGAAACGAACAAAGTTCTTCATTAGGCAATATTTTCAATATATCTTACATGGAAGTACTTAAAAAATTCCTTCAAGCTGTGAAGTTTCGCAAAAACAATAAGCCGTCTCCTCTTTTACATACTTCAAGAATTCGTTGACTATTATATTATAGAAAGTGCCACATCCAATCACATACAGCCTTATTCTTCATTTCAGTAACTACCTCTTTATGTGCTCCTTTTCTGACTTTATTGTACCCTATTGTTAATGTTCAGCTTTCACAACTACTTTGCTACCGATGTTAAGGAATCAGGATTTACAACGTGCCATTGAGAGCAGTTTTTCTCTGTGCTTGTGAAAACCGGTCTCTCCTAGTTGAGGATACTAAGCAAATCCCTATGTTCGACTATCGTTGCATCTGAAGAATTGTTGACATTCCATGCCAACACCATGTTAGTAATGCACAGGTTCGGTAGCGGTAATCTAATGTGTCACCTTCTTGAAACACTGACTTCAGTGACTTAGGGTTGTACTACGAATGTCGTCCTGGCTGATCCCACGTCATAAATTGTTTACCGACGCTGGTACTGGTTGGAGAAAACGAAGAAGTCGTCAGTTTATGGTGCAGTGTTGTGGTATGAAAGAAAGCTGTACATGACTGGCATGTCAGTTCTTCGCGAATATTTAGTTGGGGTCCTAGAGATAGTTCAATACAGTGACTTGAATAATGATCGGACATGGTGGTCCTGCTGTAATTTTCTTTTATTTTCACATAAATGAAAGGAACTTCTTTAACTGAAAGAATCCTTTCTGGTTGCAGAAGCCGCATTAGTTGAGTGACCTGTATTCACATGGTTTTCGATTATCGAACTTCTTATTGAATCATTTCCGCCTGTTTTCAGTCAAACCAGATAGTGTTCTCGAATTCTTTTGGATAAAATACACATCGAACGACCTATATACCTGACTTTACATGAACAAGAAAATTGGTCAAATGAGATAATTTATCATTAAGATTATTGGTGAACATTGATCGGCTCGAGAACACTATTCACAAAGTTGCTATGAAGAATGTTTCTTTGATAGAGTCGGGAATTCCCCTCTTTACAACTTCTGTAACTATATCACCTTTGAAATCTATACTCATATAAAGTCTTTTCTTTTCTATAGCGCTTATTTGCGCCTTAGGCGATTTGCGTTTTATATGCTTGTCAATATATATAGATGGATACTCTTTTGGATAAGTGTTTTCTCAAGAAGGCTAAGTTCACTGTTTGTGATCCCCGAGACTACAAATTCTTCGTATTCGCTTTCGACTATTCGGGGACCTATCTGTGAACATCGAGTTCAAAGATGATATAGTTACAGAAGTTGTAAAGAGGGGAATTCCCGACTCTATCAAAGAAACATTCTTCATAGCAACTTTGTGAATAGTGTTCTCGAGCCGATCAATGTTCACCAATAATCTTAATGATAAATTATCTCATTTGACCAATTTTCTTGTTCATGTAAAGTCAGGTATATAGGTCGTTCGATGTGTATTTTATCCAAAAGAATTCGAGAACACTATCTGGTTTGACTGAAAACAGGCGGAAATGATTCAATAAGAAGTTCGATAATCGAAAACCATGTGAATACAGGTCATTCAACTAATGCGGCTTCTGCGTTCAAAATCGTCTACGAGGTATGTAGAAGGCTGCCAAAGGCAGTTATAATCCCTCTACTTAACAATTGGATAAACCAAAATTATGTATCCAAATGAGACGGGTACAACATCTTCTTCTAGGATTGTCTTACTATCTCGTAATTTTTCTTATTCATAATTGTGTATTTGCCGAAAAGAGAACTCTTCGCTAAATCAATCTTTCTTATTTTTTTCCAATTTACTGATTCTCTTAAATACTATACAAACATCTAACGTAATAGTCTTTCATGATTATTAGGGACTTCAAATATTACGTCCTTTGGATTGTACTTCTCGATTTAATTATAATGCTATAGCTTCCTCCAATGACTTTATAGATGATAGTTTTATTGATTCATCTTAATGTCCTATTTATAACTTAACTAGTCTAATTCATGAATTCAAAAGTAATTCACTGACATACATAATTCCTGTTTTGTACGTTTGGACTTATTTCCTTGTAATCTCTTACTTTTTTAACCATTAGATGTAACCTATAATCCGTTAAACATGAATATTGTAAAGTATGATTATTTTCCTAACTGGTTATTACAAATCGATAACCGGTTGTTGCTATCTAGTGATTAACCTCGTTCACATCGTCTTCTAACTATTCAATATATATCACATGAAAAAAGATCGTGACTACAATCGTGTGATCTATTTATGGTGAAGCTAACCAGTTACCACTTAGAATTATAACTTTTATTTATAAAAAAATCAATACCGAAAATTTATCGTCACTTTCATATTTGAACAAAAGATTTGTGTTCATACATTTCAATTTCTTGCTGTTATTTAAATGCAAGGTAGATATACCACAAAGATGATAGTTGGTTTACATTTTCACTGTTTTCGTTTTATCACATGTATTCTATAATTTTCAATCACTTGCCTTTACGGTTAAAACAAACTTCAAGACCTATAATAGTAATGCGTTGTATATCTGTTGATTATGTGATACTTCACTCGTTCGACGAATCATGGGACCACTAGGTATGTTCCAGGCTAAACAAAAGGTATGTCATTAAAACCTTTACTGGTTTTCTAGTTCTGGAATATCCAAATTATTACAGTCACCTTTGATTGAATTACGTAACTTTAACTGACATTAAACCCAACTAATTCAAGCAATATTGTGGTAATATCTAAATGGCAACAACAGTACAGATTTAGTTGAGTAGTTTGGAGTTATTCCTGGTGGTTTTTACAATATTGACGTCGATACAAAAGAGTTTTTGCATGAGTGCACGTAAAGAATACTTATGGAACATACACGAGAGTCAGTTTTTCTCATTACTAGTATAAAATTCTAGGTACCAACATGCGTTACTAGGAAACTAATAAAACATGCATTTTCTCACGAAATATGTTGAAATCAACAACTTAAAGGAATATGAATTTTTCAGACTTGGTTTGTGAACCATAAGCGAATTTTTAGTGTTACAGCAAGTTGTTATACGCTAAAATTTGCTAAAACTAGTAATTATAACTTTCGAAACCAGGAATTTGTATTAAAGATATCGAGAACATCAAGCAAATTAAAGTCGACTTCGTCACACGCTACGCAAGCCTCTGGAATAGGCTACCAATAAACATCCGGTCAAGTCAAACGTTTATTCAATTTAAATCTTCCGTAAACTGCTTTATGAACCAATTCGGAGTTTCTTACATACTCCCAAATCACGAAAAGGCTATTTTTTCTTGAGATTTTAACCAAAATAGTTCATCGCTTTCAAACTCTAACATACAATGCAGTGGAGTAACTGAAGCATTAATCTAAAGTTCACGTGTCACTACACCAAAATTGTTTTACCACTTCGTGTCATTGATTTGGAATATAAGCTTTAAACTCATTTAGGTAAGAACATTTTCTCTGCTGATCCAGTTTACGAACCAAACTATTGTTTTTAGTCTTTCATTTATTTGAGAAACATACTCAATACTTGACGGTAACGACTAAAACCTAACTACTAAATTATATATCACATAATTACATGGTGATGATGATGTAGATACCACCAGCGACTAACCACGTTAAAACATTTAAGCTTTTTTGGGATTGGACTTGAATAATTGTGTTTATGTTTGTAACTTGTTTAAACAGGACATCGTAGCAATTTTTTCATTATTTATCCATCAAATCTTGATTTATTCTCGAATTTAAGGGTTTTACGAACATTAACTCCTAGCATTTATGAAAATTCAATTTCTTTTACACATTTTCCAATGTAGTTTTTAATACTTAGTTATGTCGTAAATTGTAATGATTTGATTTCATTGTTTGTCATTTCATTTCAGCATCTTCTTCAACCGGATTGTCAAGTTCGTTCACTTAGTCTTTGGAGTGCTTTTTATGGTATTGCTTTGTCTACAAGTAAAGTAAATCCCACCCTAGATATTCCTCAAGATGTAATTGAAGCAACACCAAATACTGCTCATTCAGTTACAAATTCAACTATTTCATCTACCAAACATAAATCTCTTTCATCCATCGATCCAGCACCTCACAAAACTAATTCCACTTCAAATATCAACTACGAAAAATTGTCTCAGCCTACAGCTAACCTGTTAGGTGATGACCATCCTTCTGATTCAACAAAGATAACGGTACCAAATTTAAAAATTGATACCTCTGAGGAAGTGAATTCAGATGGAGATTTGTTTATCAAAGGATATGCTTCTAGTCGAAACTCACATCGGCGTTCTCTTGATGATATTAATAATTACATGGATTCGAGATCTACTAAACAACAGTCTAGAGAATTTTCTTTGTCGAGTCGTGTTTCTCCCACAATAATAAAATCATCAAGTCAATGTTTTTTTGAAAACAATGTATGCAATGAGAAAAATAGTCCTGGACCTGCAATACTTCGTCTTTCTTCTCTATCTGATGATACAGGTATTTGTTCTGGTTTGTCGAAATCATATCTACGTTCTTTATCATCGGTTATTAATGGTAGTTATCCTTTTCCCAAACATTCAGATAAATGTATATCTCCTGAATCAGGTCCTGCACAGTTAACAGTGAGTTCATGTACGTATGTTAATCAATTTCAACAACAGGAATGTGTACTTTCTCCAGATGAAAATATTGATGTTTTTGCTTCTGATGAACAATTGGAACAGAACGATTTCTCTTTTACTAATCATAATAATAATATAGATAATATGAATAGCTGTAGTAATAATCTCCTATCTTCAGGTCGTTTATACTATTCACAATTCAATCAGCCTATTCAAAATTGTCAGTTTTATGGAAAATGTTCACCATTGTCTATTTCACCAAGACAGTTCGAGTTCAATGATTGTGATGATAGCAATCATAATGACAGCGTCAATGTTGAATCACGTGGTAAATTACCTTCTAATTTTAATCTTGATGGAGTACAAGGTGATAATTTTACTTATAATAGTCCACGATGGTCAGTTACTACACGAGGAAGTAATACAAGCCTTTATGTATTATCAGATGTGAAGCAGTCTTCCATTGAACTATTAAAGCCTGTTTCAAATAATTCGTCACAACCTATGGACATAAAAATATCACGTAGATTTGATATTCCTAACAGTTTAGTACCGATTGGTAATGGTAGTGTATATCCTAACGAATTTACGGTACATGTAAGTTGATTGGTCAATTAATCTGATTTTCCCTTTGTATAATGAAGGATGAATTAATCGTATAATAGTAGTTGTCTCTAAAGAAACGTCATTAATCTTTCACTGATAGCTTCATTTAAAAATAAAATTTGTTTTAACTAATATTTTCTGGCAAAAAATTTATCATTGGTTTAAGTTAGGGGTTTTTGGTCACAGAGTCAATCTGTCCTAGTTCTCTATTTGTTTATGTATTAGCAGTCATATAGCATCCGTAGCTGTATCTAGTAACATGATAGATCGAATTCTCTGAAGTTGATGAGTTTCTTTTTTCATTACTCAATAGCAAAATTAACAGAAAACTGTATTAAGAAACATCAACGTAGTTCTACAAGCCTCATGAAAATATTTTGCCGCTTTCGATCCTAAAAATGCGCTCTAAATCTTAGTATACCTTCGGTATATCATTTGGGTTTGATCTAAAGCGAAAAGTGCATTCTTAACTTCTATCACAAAGTAACTCGGACGATTTATGAAATGAACTGTCTCAATCAAAATAATAGTATAAGAGTAAACTAGGTCAAGTTGTCCAAAGTTAGCATTTGTAAGAAACCTTATTGGGACGTGCAAGTAATTACTAATAATAACTTCACAACGGCCAAAATCTACCTAAAACATTTCCTTATCAGGCAACATATTGTTGAACACATTGCGTTACTAACTTTGAAGTAAATTTTCATTCCTAATTTTTTATACTTGCTTACAGTATGTTTGGTACAAGAGGCCATTAAAAAGTTTTCTCATAAGGCCAAACATGGCACAAATCCATGAAGTCACTGACAAGTGGACTGATTCATGTTTGTAGGTGTAGACTACCTGGTTGGGATCCACGAGACGATAGTAACCGATGGTTAGAGACCTTGAATGACATGGCTCAAAATCGTTTGCAATGGCGCAGGTGCACCCACTCTCTGTGTTCTTTCAAATTCTAATCTTCTGAACTCTTCATATCCCCTTTTTTCTCTTTCCAAATTTATTTTACTGGACTATACTCCTTGAATAACATCTTCAAACCCTAATGTTTCTGATTACTGCTTATACTTTTACTACCTCTACCTCTACGAGATTTGAATCGACAAATGTATTTATGTGCTAATGTGGTATGGCAACTCGAACTGATGTACGTACGTACTACGTTTTACGTTGCCGCTGACTGACAAATGATAATAATTTATCAAGTTGTAGGAGGAATTATACAATCACTATTTATTTTAAGATACAGGAAAACATTTTTGTATCACTTTTGCAAAACATGAGATAAACTACAAGACAACTATCAATTTATATTGTCAGCCATTTCTGATAATGTTCCAAGCGACTTGGCTTATTTCATTAATTTTTTTTGGAGCCGTATCTTCAATGCCCAATCTTTCATATTACCTCTAATACCGTTACTACCTCTACTATTCTGGAATTTGACCTGATGACTTCATCTCTCTGTGCTAACGAGATATGACAACTTGAACAGATGTACATACGTACCAGGTTCTCCGCTGTGACTGACTGACTTGATCCGAACATCACTCAGAGCTCACATCACCTTCATGGCTCAGAAGTTTTGAAAGTCTAGATTTAAGCTAAATATTAGGTATGATAGGTGTTCAATATCCAGATGTAAGGCACTGTCTAAGTAATAAATTTTATAAATTTTTCTTTCAATGGGTTTCTTAGAAAATATGTTGTTTTATATCAAGTTTGTCCGGATCTGATTTACTAAACCTTTTTCAATGTGTTGTCGTAGAATAAAAAGCCTGTGTTAATTTTTCTCAAATCGTCAATTAATCTTCTGACATTGTAAATCATAATTATATATGTATTGTTTATGATCAACAAAGTTTCGGTGAACGAAAAGCATTAGTTAGTGGAAGCTCTAATTTTGTTTAAATTAATATGCCATTGAGGGTATAACTGTAGTTTTACATTTACATCTGTTTTAATGCTAATTTCCTTCCAAAAACTTTCACATTAACAGAGTCTACCCGAAAATGACGAAGTGCTTGTTAATGGGGCCGTATCTCTCACATCCGATTCAGATGATTCTCCCAATGAATGTAATGATTTGAATTTGTCAACACCTCTTGGAGAATCAGTATCTGGTCAATTGTTATCGACGAATAAGGCTGAAATCTCTATTTTTGGTCATAACGGTTCCGAAAAATTTCAAGATATTACTGGTACTATATCAAAAGTTTATGAGGAAAGTCTAGATGAGGCATTTGTAACAAAACTGTCTGAATTACTTATTCCTGAGGATTTGGTACGTATAATACAATCACGTTTTGCTATACACTTATTTTTTTATTGGTCAATTTTAGGAAAATGTTTTTCATAACTGTTAATGCGATTTTATAAAGCAAAGAAATAACTGGAGTATCATAACTGAATATTTACTCTCCCGTAAATCACAGCTAATTTTCTAAAATGAAGTGGAACCGCTGACCAACTAATTATATATAATGTACTCGATTAAGATAGTGTGATTCAGCTTTTTATCGAATAATACATGGATGATCGGGAATGAAAATGAAGGTCACAAAGGAGTTTTTTTTCTTCTACCTTTTTTGATAGTCGGGGTAGGTAGGTAAATCGCATCGCTTTGTTCGAAACATGGGTGTCTTAGCACCCTATCAACTATGTTGCTTAACATCTATCTTGAAGACAAATTTCCTACTGACAATTGTTCTATCAATAATCACCTACCTAAATCTGTTATGGTTGTCTAGCCTCCGCCCACTTTTACGCACAATGGCAACTAGTATAAAAATAGGCCAGAAAAAGTTATGTGAAGACAAGTCAAAACATTAAATTAACCCATGAAATCATTTCGTGTCGATCGCTGTCTACTGTTTGGGATGCGCGAAATTTTTTATTTCGACGTGGTTACATTATTCTCTGTCTTCTACTAAATCTTGAGCTTAGCGTCGTTTAATGCCTTTTATTCTTCTGTTTCAGTTGTTGCTTTTGAGCTCTATTTCTCATGTTCAGCTTTCCATTGCATTATTTCTCCCCCTCTGCTTTTCATGCTTCTAATTTCGTGCTTGGTTTTGCGCGTGCTAGGTATGACGGCACTGATCGATGAATATTCATGTCAGTTTCTACATTGGCCTAGTCAATCCTAAGCAACATAAAACTCGGGATGTATTGGCATCTGTTCAAACTGCCACAGTACATTAGTACAGAGTGATAAAATTGTCAACATAAATATTAAAGTATAAGCAGTAGTAGTAGTGCTGGTGATAGTGAAAAAGTTCAGAGAATGAGATTCCAGGGTAAAAAATTAATTCGCAGGTATAAAGTAAATTTGAAATTCAAGATCTTATGAAAGACTAACTGTGGATGCATCTACGTCATTGTGACCGATTGTGAGTCGGGTCGTCCATCTTCTCCGTTTATACTAACTTCGATCAACTGGCTGACCATTACTGTAGCCGGGGTACCTTAAACTAATGTGTGTTTATGCTCTAAACCTTAAGTTGCATTAATACTAAGCCAAATAATTCTGTTGCGTTTTCGTTATAAGTCCCGAGATTTATATATTTTTGTAATTGAATCCTTCATTGGCATTGTTTTAATCTTTGATTCTCACTAAAGCTTGCCTGGCGAAACAAATACTTCCGATTTGAATATTTTCCAAATATGCTTTCTCAGTCATCCTCGTCAGTTTCTTGTGGCAGCAGAAATTCGTCTTCCAGTCAAATGTTTGACTGTTCTAGCAATAATAATAGTAAAGCCCTGAAGCCAGGTGGATCATTCGACTCAAAGAGTCATTCTGTAACGGTTAATCCTAAAATTTCTTTGCCTGAATTTACTCGCATTACGACTAATGGTGATGATGTTTACAATCGACCGACATCAGCCCCAATCAGTCCAACTTCAGCTGTGCCCTATTTTCCTTCTACTCTACATAAAAACTCTACTCCTTTAAATAAAGAAGCTCATAATCCTCCCATCGATCAAAACATATCAAATGATACGAATGCTTTAGAGGAAATTCAGAAGAAACCATTATCTTCTACATTAGTAAGTTTTTCAACTTCAGAAACAGTTAATCATGTTCTCTTTCTATCATAAACAAAATGACTCTTTCTTTCAAAGCACTAATACTTAAATTTTTATAAGACTAGAGCCGTTGATGTTGAATATTCTTAAGCGCTAGTATACTAATAAAGTGAATTATTAAAGATGCTCTTTTCATTCATTTATTCAGTAACGAGCCCAAAATGCGTTCTACCTATCGAAATATGTTGGTTAAATTACACCATTGGTTCACGAAGCCTAATGAATCTCCCCAAGACTTCTATTGATGACTATTTTGCTAGTTCTGTTTTGTAAACTTGTATTTCTGCTTGATCCATCATAGTTCACTGCTAATCCTGCCTTTTGTTTTACCATAGTGAAAGAGGCTACTCATTTGTTCGTAGCTCTTTTAATATTCTGGTTTTTAACTTACCAGAAAATCGTAAGCGTATTTATACTTACTTACTTGGTGGCTAAATCAGTCTCATTCAATCTCCAATAAGTATCCTAAGCAAGATTTTTTTGTTTAGATTATCTGGGTTTAGTAGGGAAGTAAGGTGCTAATTGTTCATTGTGGCCTATTATCCATCGCATGAATCTGTACCTAAATCGTAATTATATTGTGTAGGGACCCACTAATAAGCCTCCTCTTTTATGATGTCTGGTATCGAGGCTATATCGTTTTCTTTCGTATTTACCTAAGGTTTTGTATTTTGCCCTTTATGACTGATTGCGTTATGGGGAAAGTTAGTGGTTCGATCCTGACAAAAGACTGTGTTTCAAGCTTTTTAATTGTTACGTTAGGAATCTATTATTTTATTCTATCCTTTCTGAACTATCAAGTATATTTTTTATTTATTTATTTTAACACATAGATATTGGTACAAGAAGGCACCAAATACATACACTCCACACAGATTTCAATTGATATGTGTGAGGGCTGTGATACTGCCCGGGTGCCCAAACCGATGCAGGTGGTTTTTTTAGGGGGCCACACCCCGAGCCTTCGACCTTAAGGTCTGATCCACAAGGGAGTAGAGCATCGTAAGGAGATGCAGTCCTATGATAGCGGGTGACCAACGACTGGTTCATACGCCATTTGTTCCTTCAGGATACTGGAGCCCATGTGCACCATTGGTTTGAGATCCGGTTAAAGCGCCGGACATTCGCTTTTCGTCCTCTCATTTTCGTAAACAACACCCCCTCCACGAGAAGGCAGTGAGTAGGACTTCCCTGGCAGAGGCTGTATACGCGTGGCCATGTGAGAGCATTTCGAGAGGGAGAGCGGTCTCTCCCTACTCTCGGCCGTACCAGGGCGTTTGGGGGCACTCTCAAGTATAACTTAGTTTTCTCATAAATATTTCATATTTTATTATTTTTACACTAACTTGACCATTTATACTCTTTTAATTCATTCAGTCTTTCCATTTGTTTGCACCAGTTTTCAAACGTATTCATATGATAGTTTTCGAGAAACATAATAATTTGCTGAATTTATTACAAATCAATGGTATTTATATCTATTTTGGTCATTAATGCATAACATCAAGTCTGCCTTTGAACGCCACTAATTGTTTAAATAAGCATGTTATAGTAAGATTATACTAATTTTCGGAAAATCTTGTTAGGACTTCAACACCGATTGACTTCTTTTTCCTTGCCCAGTATTTACAACTTATATTCCTTGGCCAAACATATCTGTTTGAAGTTTAAAAGTCATACTGTACAGTCATGGATACTAATGAAACTCCTCGTTGGAAACTGAATATTGTCGATCTGTTGGTCCTTACCAATTACATTTATTAATCCAACACATTTGATACAATATTCTATTTGTAAAATGTCTCTTGAAAATCTCGCGTTTATATCTAATAATTTATGGGAACATACATCACTTATCTTAAGGTAAACGATTTTAAAAGCCAGTCCAGCTAAATTAAGAAGCATAAAACATCCCAAAATAGTTAATCTGTTTAACATTATCATTCGTATCCGTTTTTGATCATGTCACCTAGTTTACAATAACTTATCTCCCCTGTCCATGAAAATTTGTATTTAAACGTGTCTTTGAGATTAATAGTCAATGTTTTCATGAATAGACCTCAACTTCTGTTCTGGCTTTTCTCTCTATAGTCAAGCTTAGAAGTTAAGATAAACAGTGGCTGACGTAGTATCACACATCTCAGCAATTGTATTAATCATATCACTAATATATCTCTCAATCTCCCATATACTTTCACCTATTTCAAAGCTAATTGTTCAATTTGTCTATAATAAATAAGTATTCACTGAATACTAATCATAATTTAATTTCACAATATATTATTTCATAATGAAAAAAAAGCTATAGCATGTCTCGCCTTACCAACTGCGAATATTGGAGTCATTATATGTGAAAATTATATTTGACGAACATTCGTGCGAATATTGAAGTTTTTCATTTGTTAGAACCTGATAAATACAAATAAAATTTTCCATATTCTTACGATGAATTCGTCCAATTATCCAAAGCACTAGGTTAATACATTTAGCCATATCAACGTAGTTCAATGCTAATTGGATAAATTGTTTCCTAGCGTTTTCAGGGCCTCTGTGGGCTTTTTTAAGGAATAATCTATATCTCTCCAACACTATAGATCCTTAGCTGAATGAAGCTCAATAATAATAGATAAATAATCTCATTATTCAAACTCACCTGGTTATTCTTGATTATGGTGACAATATTACTTCGTTACTTGGTCGAATGAAATTTGAACTTACGTCTAGATTGTCACAAATCAATTATTTTGATTATTGATTTTGAATCCCAGTGGTGATAATCAAAAGTTGTCTCAATTATTTCAAGATCACTAGTTTCATCAGTTTTACGCTGCTTTTCAAAATCTGTCATTCGCCTGTAGTATTTAGAACTTATCGATAATCATTTACGCAAAGTTTCTTTTGTGTTTCCAATTTGATATTTACATGAATCATGTTTATTGTGAACTAACCGCTACACATTTATTAATACATCTGATATATTCTCTAATAAATTCATCTCTTAGATTGTAATAATTGAATTATAATGTACGTATAGTCTTTCTCCTCAGTCAGTAATCTGACTTTTTTAACAATCCTAATTAGTCATCGCCATACTGAGTCTAAGTTAAAAATTTGTTGATCCATAGAAATTACAGTATGCTTACGTAGTACATTGTCAAGTAATCTATTGTACAATAAACACAACTAACAGTAGTTATTTATCATATTATCATATTCCAGTTAAAAATAATTATCAATTACCGTAAAAAAGTGTAATTCAATATATATATATATTCTCTTTATTACAGTTATCTGATCCAGGTGAATATAACACTGTGTTGATAAATGACTCAGACAATTACATTTATTAACAGGATAATACCAAATATACTAATAAGAACAATTGATCTGTTAGTGAAAAATATTTGTTGTGTCAATAACTTAAAGACTTATATACAATAACCTTTTAGTTCCCGTATGTTTTTGTATAAAGGTAAACAAATAAGTTTTTTAATTCTATAATCATGTAACTGGATCATTGAGTTTCAACTTCTTTTTCTGTATAGTCTCCAAACAATAGAATAAGCCTGAAATAAGCACTGAAAGTACCGATTTTCTGTAACTATTTCTTGTTAAAGTTTACCAGCCAGCATTGTCTGCTCACAGTCTCACGTAACAAATAAATGCGACTAAATTATAATCAGTTATTTGATTCAGTGTATGACTATGAAGTTGCATTTATTTAACTTACAATCTGTTTCTCACTATATTTACATAAGGCTATCGGTTGTTTCGGAGGTTAACAGCTGTACATCAAATATATACTTAGGACTTATTTTAGTATCTTTTTTTGTTCTAATAATAAGTTCGAGATTAGTTTGATCGTCCCTAATTTGTATTTGTTTTTCAGGTGATACTGAACTTGGTTTAAATGCCTTAATTTAAGACATTGTTGTTTTTGAAAAAAACATTAAACTACTTTGATTGTTTTTAGGCTATTTGTTTGGAAAGCTTTTCAAAGTGTATTATCATCACTTTGTTTTCATCAGTAGTAGTTACACAGAATTATATCACATGATATGTACTCATAAACCATGTGTTTCTGTTAAATCGATAATCAATTATTGTACGGCATATTTACATATTTTACACATGCGTACGTACTTCTTACTTAAACTGGAAATCCCGGATAGAGTAGGTGTTATATATGTAGAAGGGCTTTCTGGAGATTAGACCATGAAGTGACATCAGTTAATAAATCATAATCGTTATGTATTGTATAAGAAACTGATGTGTCTGATCAGATTGACTGTAAAAGAAAACAACATTAATGGTTGAAGGCTTAATATTGCTTACACTTGTACAAATAAATTAGATTCTAAATGTTGAAAATATTGAGTTCTTTTTATTCCTTGTCAAAACTTGTTTTTCTTGTTAATCTTTCTGCTTCCATACCTTCATTATCTTTGATTTCTTTGTGTGTATATTGTTTATTTCTTATTCATTTTAGCAGTACCAAACATGACAATTTAAATCAATAAAAACATGTACCGAGTCCTTTGTGGTAAATATGTATTTGATATTTAGAATAAAATAGAACGATGCATACAAGCTCACTGGTGCAAGTTACCATTTCTCTAAACATTATACTAACTGGAAATTATTAAAGCACATTTGTCTTACCGAGTATGCTGTATAATATGATTGTTTAGCTATTAAATTAACCGAACAGAAATTATTTCCAAGACTTAGCCCAATTGGGTTTCACAAAAAGCCTTTCACTGTCTCAGCAAACGGTATTGATTTAGTACAACTCGTTCGTACATATAGTCTGTCACTAACTTTGTAGTATATAGGACAAATCATCAACAGCTTTTATTTTTTTCTCTTATTTAGATGAACACATTGTCATGGTTTCCAGATTGGGATGGTTTACCCATGCTAGTAGATCGATTAACAATACATGCTCACTCACAATTATGTCAAGAGCGTTATAATCGTAAAACACAAAAGCAATCTATGCTTGCATTAGAAGCCAAATTAAAATATGCACAACTGGAAGTTGAACGGTTGAATTCAGAGGCGAAAAGATTGAAACAACTTCTCGAGTTGACTAAAACTCAAACATACAAACAAGACACAAATGCACTTGCCTCATCCGATGATCATTTATCATCGCTTTCATCGTCATTGTCGTCGTATGAACAGAAGTTTACACAAAATAGTCATATTAATAGTCGATGTAAATCTAAAGAGTCCAATTTATTGAGTAGTGAACTATTTATTTCCATTTCTAAAGATAAAAATGTAAGTTTATTTTAACTGGTTTTATGAACTACATGTATGCATTACAATTTTTTTCACATTCAGTTGTGTGTAGGGGTATTTCAATATCGTTTAACCATGTATCGTATTCAGAAGCAGAGTTGTATCTCAAGAATTTTTGATTTACCATTGACTAAAATATAAATTTTAGTATTATTACACGAAATACTTTGAATATTAAAAATTATGAAACTCCATAATGTCTAGTATGTAAATGCAAAACGGAGCATGTTAAACGTTGATTTGAGCTATTACTATACAGCGAATTTATAAACTTGGATCATTTTCTAGTACTCTTTGCTTAAGACATTTTTCCACATGACTTTATTCCAACTATAGTTCCCCCGGATTCAGTAAATAGAATTTTTCATTCTTATTCACTAGTTCTCCCTGTATATTTAAAATTGACTATTTTAGTCATACTTAGTCAATGGTTTTACCGAATACTGTAGTTCTTTACTGCCTGTGGTGACTACACGCCATGTTGCCTACAGGGGAAAGCGTTTTAGACAAAGTTTCAGTATACTAGAGCACAATCATAACGAACATAATTACTCCCTACCTTGTATACTAGTTACTTGGCAAAATAACTAGTATGATAAAATATTGAAATAACTGAAGAGAGAGAGAGAGAACTGATAGTTTCTCAACGAAACTGTTCGCTTAATCCCAAAATAATACATTTCAGGAAATTGGTTGAAATCAACTGACCTAATTCTCTTACATAATATGAACTGCTGATTGTGTACAAAATATTCAGCCAAGATATTATGAATATTTGTTACTTTTGAAATATGAAATATCAAAACAGTTTGAAAACAACCAATGAGATTATCCCTATACTCTTCATATCAGTTGCAATTGTTGGTTTAACCGTTTACATTTTTACAAATGTTGTTATTCCGTATCCACGAACCAATGTCCACTTGTAAATCAATAGAAATAGAGTTGGATCGCAGATACTAGTAATTGAATTTGTCTCATTAGCTGCTGCACTAATAATGTTTTCCAATGTATTCGTAATCTTGTTATTTTATTTGGTAGTTTTTTATTCATACTTGGTGCTAACCTATTGATTAAATCGTTATTAGATTTCAGAAGAACATCACAATCCATCTAACATTAAGTCTGAGTTAACTGATCCAACTGAATCAGCATTCTTGAATGCATCATGTAAGACAACTTCATTTGAATTAATAGATACGGAAGATGGTCAATCTGTTTTACTACAGCCTGATTGTATTGCTCACCAATGCACATCATGTCGTATAGAATTTTCGGCTTTACGACCTAAACACCATTGTCGGTAAGTTTTGTATTCTCGTTAATTAACTCCTGTGCATAGTTGATTGCCTAATTTTTTTATGATGGTGTTACCTTGTAAAACATTAAAGCGTAGTATAAATTGACAAATAAGATAATGGGCGTTGAGTATTATTTCACATATCACACTGGTTGTTTTTTCTATGTTTATTCAGGGTGAACTGGTAAGAGAATTATATTCTGTTGATAACCTTCACTTTCTTACTATGTAACAATTTTTGGGTTTTGACATACTCAGGTTACTTAAAACTGTATCAATATCATTGACATAGTTTAAAGCGAAGCGTGTTGAAGAGAATACCTTCTAGCTCTCCGATTCTCTAAAGTGAGAGACTATTGTATAGCCACACACAATGAATCAGTTGTTACTTATACTATGCTATTCAATGATTATACAGAAAAATGAAAAAAAGTTGTTTGTGTGTTCAATAGAACTTAATTATTTACTCATGGAACTATAAATATATTTATTCCGCTGAATAACTGGGAGACAAGCAAATTTAAGTGTACGTTTTGACGTTTTCCATAAGTCTACATTCAAACGGTTTTACACTTTTCATCTTGTTCATAAATTATTAGAATGTGTGTTTTCGTTTGAAGAAAAAAGTGTTCCATTCATGCTTTAAGCCATGTGAATTAACTTTGAAATAACTGAAGACAGCCGTCTTCAAAGATAATTTATGGATCAATAAAAACCTTAAATTCTCTTCAGTTTTATGAAGATACAGAAACAAAAAGATTTTATAAGATAGGAATGCTAGTTGGTCTATTGTAGGATAGATTAATTTGTCACGATCTGGTTATCCATTTAACTGTAGTGTATATTTTAAACTACCTACATTTGCTGTTTTATTTTCTTATTTGCTAGAAATTGTGGTTACATATTCTGTGCAAATTGTTCTGATCGTCGTGTTGTTACAGCAAGTCAACCAAATGAACCGGTTCGTGTATGCCGTCATTGTTTCTTTCAACTATCTCGTCCTACAGCGAAATCGTCTAAACAACAATTGGATGAAGAATACACTCCATGTGTTGGGCGAACTACAATAATGAAGGAAGACAATAATGGTGGTGGACTGGTAAAAAATTTCACAAATCCAGATTTTCTTAATTATATGAACAACTCAATTATGCTTTCCACTGATTCTGATAGTGGTTGTATGCATGTTTCATCTTTCCCTAATGGTGCTATGTTGAGAATGTCGTCAAGCGGTGTCTCCCATCATTTTAACGGTTCTTTTAATTCAGAGACTACTACCAATAATGCCACAACAACAACAACTGTTAATCATCGTTTAGATTCAATCCTTACAAACAATCCTCCTCTGTCTAGATGTCATAGTGCTGGTGGTGCTAGGCCAACCTCCTCTGCTGCGTCAGATGGCATTGCTCAAGCTTAATAAAAGATGCAAAGTATTCAACAATTATAAAGCACTCCACATCATTAGATAACGTGTGTTGTGTATCACGCTATATATGCACACTGGCAGACAAACTATTCATATCCACACTTGTTTGCTGTTAATTTATTCTCCTTCCAAATTTGTCTTTCAATTTTGTTTGTGACACTAGTCTTTGATTTGACTTTTGGAAAAACAGACTATTTCTTTCTATTCATTTACTCCTTTCTCCATACACACAGTATGTATATTTGTGTACGTATTGTTTTCCCCCATCCATGGGAAAATTTTCTGCTTTTCTCTCATTCCTTTATATATGTAGCATAAAGAGAAGGTTTTGAAGAGTTGGATAAAGATATCTGAATTTGTTATTGCTCAGTTATTTATTCATCATTAATCTGTTTCATCTCTTCATTCTCTGAAAAGATTTCTTAATGTGCTTGTTTCTAAATCTTGTCAGATTTGTATAATTTAGTTTGTTACTAATACAGCTGTTGATGTTGTAATTGATAATACTTCTCTGCCCCTAAATTACCAATGATTACCAACAGAATTTTTGTGCATATATATATAGCGAAATATACGCAGAAGCATAGATTTATATCTGTGTAGTCTCTTATATGTTCCACACGACTTCATTTGCTTTTATTCTTTTCCGTATCTTTCTTTTGAATTCCCCTACTTGTCATTCATATATTCACACATAGATAGAAATAGTTTTACATTTTTCGTATCATTATTATTAAAATAAAATAGTTAATATAATCCGACTCAGTTATTCTGGTGTCTATTTCAATCCACCAACTGACTTTATTCAGAAGATAATTGATTTAGTAAGCTAATTAATCATAAATTAGAAGTCTCTTTCATATTCGTCACTCCTTCTTTATCAATGTATATGTTTTGTTTTTCCCTCTCTCAATTACTCAAATAACGCTTATTTTGTGACAGTCGAGATTTTTGTGTTTACTACTATGATTATTATTGTTATTTTAATCAATATTGCAAATAAATATATAAACAATTGTGATGGTGTAATGACGTACAATCTTTTTAATTTCTAGTGGGTAATGTTAAATGATCTATATTGGCGCCTGCTTGTTCGTTTGTGTGTGTATGTTTATATTCTTCTGTATTTACCTATTCTTTAATCTATTTCGGTTGTAAAAAAAGCAGCTTTTAATTTGGTTGTTCGAATCCATTTATACTATATTTAATGCTATGTAGCCGTTTTTAGATGTGTTTGTGTTGGTAGTATTCTAGTGTAGAGACTGTTTCGTTTTATGTATAGGGTTCCGTTTTGTAGAAGCTAGACACTAATCGCTACCACATTCATATTTCTCATACTTGTCTCTTAAATATTTTTATTATAATTCTGATGTCAACAGTTAGATTTTTATATCGTAATTTATGGATGTGAGGTAATTTAATTACAGACACTAATGAACCTAATTATCTATTTGAGTATAAGCTCGGGTAATCGATTATGGTGATCACTTGCTGATTTCAGTTCAGTGGTGAGTTAGCTGTTTGATCATTAAATAGACTTAACTGACACCATTGAACTAAACTTGGAAACATTAGTGTTCATTCACATATATAATCAGTTCCATCTCATGGGGTATTTCCCCTTGCATTAATAATTAATAATGTTGAAATCCTGAGCGAATCTGTTTTACTACTAAGGTTTTAAGCAGTACCAATGGTTACATTTATAAATTCCAAGCCCTTTTGACTGCTATTCTATTTAAAGATTTAAATTATCTGACACAAAGACAATCTATAACCGCTTATCTAATCCCAAGGATACACATTTCACTTTTTAATATCTCTTGAAGAATAAATCAAATTATTTTTGACAAAATTGGTACATTTTCCCAATATGTTTCCGTAATGACAAACAACAGAATGTTGAGAATTATGGAAATAAAGTGTACGTACTTTTTTTGTGATCGATTTTGAAGTCATCGACGGCTTCCCTCATGTGATCGGGGAAACTTCAAACGTGGAGTTTACATTTGCTTATACTACTTACACCTATAACCATAATCTTTGTATTTAGATTTGTTTACTTTTAACTATATTCCAACATAATCATCAGGATTCTTTTATCCTAAAACTTTTCCCAAATTTTGTTTATGATTGATTGATATAAAGATGCAGTCACATAATTATCACTGTGTAGGTTTTTAAAACTAATGGGACAAGAAACTAACACTGCACACAAATAAATGATAACGGTCAGCCAATATTCTCTACATTTTTAGAAATTGTTAAAACGTAGTACTAACAATGTAAAGATATATTCGAATGAGGTCAGAAATACTTCGAATGGGTTAGCCAGACAATCTCCAAAGCATTGCTCGTATATCCTGGGGCCACCGAGTAAGTAATGCATTTCGTAGGAAACGGGTACTAGGTAAGGATGGCAAATCATTTGATGAAGTAGTGAAACTTCATCACTGAGATGGCTGGGACACGTGTTACGTATGCCCAACCACTGACTGCCCTGACGTGCGATGTTTTATGGTGTAGGAATAGGTTGGAAGAAAGCTAGGAGTGGCCAAGACAAAACATGGCACAAATCCATGAAGTCACTGACAAATGGACTGAGTCATGTTGGTAGGTGTAGACTACCTGGTTGGGATCCACGAGACGATAGTAACCGATGGTTAGAGACCTTGAATGACATGGCTCAAAATCGTTTGCACTGGCGCAGGTGCATCCACTCTGTGTTCTCTCAAATTCTAATCTTCTGAAATCTTCATATCCCCTTTTTTCTCTTTCCAAATTTATTTTACTGGACTATACTCCTTGAATAACATCTTCAAACCCTAATGTTTCTGATTACTGCTTATACTTTTACTACCTCTACCTCTACGAGATTTGAATCGACAAATGTATTTATGTGCTAATGTGGTATGGTGACTTGAACAGATGTACATACGTACCAGGTTCAACGTTGTCACTGACTGATCGACTAGGGGCATTGTTGGGATATTCAGAAAAATATCCCCAAAATTATCCTGTTAAGTCTAATGCTATCCTTGAACGTGAAATGGTGTCATTTTCTTATTGGTCAATATTTATTTCACGTGTCGTTTTCCTGTTGGTCGATATTCACGGTAGTCCTAACTGTATAAATATGCATTTGTCTGTAAATTATTATTCTCATTCTTCTCCTGACCCCGTAAACAATTTTCATCTAACGGTTCGTGTTCTGATACATTGAAGATTGGGGAACAGTATTGGGGTCGTACTGGGATATCTGCAGTTGGTCAATCGGTAGAATTTAGAGTAGCCACCCCACGGTCCATAATAGGCATTGAGTAAGATAAGAGGATACTGTTTAGTGAGCTACTCAGAAGGAAAAGGGCACGACTATAAGGAGTCTTAATGAGGGATTAAGTCTTGTTTATTCCGAGTTGTTAGAGAATAAGAGACTGATAACTGAAGATCCAATTCATGAGGCAATTGTTGAAAGCTTGGTATATTTTCGAAATAAAACATCAATAGTCGATGATTAGTTCATAGGAGTCTTGAAGAGATATCCATATGAACTTGATTAGTTTTATTGAGCAATGACATTGATTTGTCATTGGCTGAATACAAAGTAGACAACAACCTTGATTATTTTACTGTTACATGTAATAATATATTTCCACATGCAAGTTTCATGAAAAGTAGTTATAAGCCTCTTAATGAAGTACGTATAAACTTAATGAATAAGAAATTTTTGTACAAATGAGTCATTTAATGTATGGAAGCACAGCCTAATGTATATTTATTACATTAGCCAAGAGACACTTATATAGCTTACTTTTTTTACTACTCTATAAATTTAGATTAGATAATTTTAATCGTGTAAATGCGACAAACAAAGTGATTATCTTATTGTTGATTTTAAAGATTACATTTAATCGTTATTATTAGGCTTTGGTTCAGCAGGTTATATATTCGGACCCTGTTCCATCTTGTTCTCACATATTGATATGTTTTACTCAAAACTGTGCTTGATGATTTATATTTAAAGTAAAACCAAATACAGCCCTTGGGTTGTGACTGAAGCAATATTGAAAAACTTGGTAAACATATAGCTATCTTTGTTTTAGTTTACAACTCAGAATATATCGCTAACTGTAATGGACGAAACAAGTGGGGACAATCGAATGTATTTGAACGGAAAATTACAGATATTCTTATTAAAACCTGAGAACCATACAGTAAATACTTCATTTGGGAAACATCAGTCAATCGTGTTAGACTTTGTTGTCCCTTCGTTTCCACACCAATCATTCTCTTTTCTTCGAGCTTCTTAACTTTCCGCCACCAGACATTTCACTTCCGATTGATGATACCTACTACCTGTATCTGTCGACATCAGTAGCAAACACTACATAACTTCATGTTAGGTGAAAATATACTTGTTCGTGTTTTACGGCTAGCCTAATAGTATTTAATCACTAAGTAAAGATCGTTTAGTTCACATTATTCAAACTCGTCTAATGCTTCACATATAGTGATTTGTGTCGGTTGTTATCAGTAAGCGTTTGTATATAGATCATTTTAGTATACTCCAAGCATTGAAACTTACTACTAGAGTATATGAACGTTCATCTTCGAAGAAAGTCATTTATGATTATCAAAGTAAAGTGTATTTAAGTTAACTAATTCACTCTTCTTGTATATTCTATCAGATATAGCACTTGTAATTACAACTTCATTATAATATGGCGGGACGTTAGTCTCATCTTTGTTTCCTAGTTTTACAGTTGATTACAATTCATAATGAAATTTACCTTACAATTTTACAAGCTAACCATTTAATTATATATGTTTATAATACGTTAGTCAAAACCTTCTGAAATCGTTGTCTTTTAGTTTAACTCATTATATGTAGATTAAGATAATTAAAATAATTTGTTTCGCAGACGAATTGCGATATATCGTCTAAAAACAGTTAGCAGCTAAGAGTCTAATTATAGGTTTCGATGCTGAAAGAAGTAAATTGAGGGGAATTTCAATCAATTAAGCATGCGTACTTCATCTCTGAATAATATTAAATTATATCATCGTTAGTATGTCTCAAATTCATAATTCTTGAAGTTTAGTATTTTCTGATCATGAAAAAGGCAGCAATCAGTTAGTATTTCTGAGACAACAATGAAATGAATTGTTTTTCAAAAAAATCAACTGTATCTATATGTATCACTGGCAACTCATTTTTTAATAGTAACATTGTTTACGTGTATTGACTGAAATATCCCAACATCTAAGGAATTATTTAAAAGTACTTATATGAACATTTGAATCTTCACTCATAACATAATTTGGTCCATATGTGACATCTGGAATGTCTTTGAGAACTCTATCAGCTATAAGACTGATTGTGTTTTAAATGTAAGTTACAAATTATTCACAGGACTTATCCTTTGTATATATTCAGTCGAATGAATTATCTTTAATTCAATAGAAGAAATTTATTTTTAAAACTAGAAAAGTGATGTAATTGGCTTTAAATCAGTATTTGACGAACAGGTTTTTATAGTAGACATTTTTTAAAGAGAACAGTTGGAATATTGTACATCTTGAAGTAATATATCTTAATTCTTTATGTTATTTTTTCTTTTCAAAGGCAATATACCTTTCCTTGTGAATGTATAAAATTATTCTCCTATAGTTATTGTATGTTATTAAATAATTTATAGTTCCACTTTCTATTCCTTTGACTAGTTACTGTTGTGTCAGTTTACCATTAACATTTATTGAGATTTTAAAAAGATTTTAATTCATAGATTTTTCACTTGAAGATAATTTATTGCATTAAAGGATGCCATCAAAAACGTGCCACATTGACAAAAATAGACCTTTTCCATTTAATTTCTCATTACACTAAATGATCTACAATCGATCAATCATTTAGATTATTCGGCGAGACTATGATTTATGGACGAAGCAATCAGGTATAAGATAACGGGTCATGGATTTTTTGCGCGAAATTCATCCATACATTTGGCGAAATAGTTTTGGCATTATAGCTGATGTCACTTCGTGATGAAAACTCTAAATCTAATTTTTAACTCTAACCATCAACTGTAAGTCATGATTCTAACTGGTTTATAACCCTTATTTAGTCCTTGTTAGTAGGTTTCCATTCTCAAGGTCACTCCAGTGTCGCTCAAAGGTCGTCCGTAAATTATAATCTCACCTATTATTCATACTCAAATCAATCAAACAATAAAATCGCGCTGTGTGTGGTATAAACAACCAATGAGAGAATGGTGTAATTCTGATTGGTCGTTATATGGATCTTTCAAGGTCGATATTTTTCTGTGTTTAGTGATTGAAAACGATTGGTCCTTGACAAGAGTGACTTACTAAAA